GGCTCCAGCAGGTATTTCGCTCCATGCAAATATTTCGCAAGTCTTTAGTGTTATTTTTTGAAAAAATATATGACCAAATATTTTTAAAAATTTTGATTAACTTTATCAAACACTTGTTTATCAATAATGTTGAAAATACACAAAATTAATAAGATGAACAGAAAATAATTTAAACTATTTCAGGTCTTTCAAGAAAAATGAGCAGACAATTCAATTATTGTTGTTAAAAAAAGAAATGTATCGTGGAATATATACATAAAATATAAGTTGAAATACAAACACATTAAAAAGTAGTGATGATTACTTTAACATTTTGGTTTCATAAATAGATGAAACTTGATTGTAAGTTGTAACAATTGTAAACCCAATTGTTACAACTATTCACGTTTAAAATAAGCAATTAAAACGATTGATAAAAAGAATTACCATTTAAATTGTATTGTTTTAGATACAGACGTGTCTATTGTTATATTTTTTGTGGAATACAAATTAAATAATTATTTTTAACAACACAATAAATACATTAATAAATGGACCCACTATTTGTATTTTTCATTTTTTGATATTAATGTGTTAAAATCAATTTAAGGGTGTTTTAAAAAACACCTTTTTGATTTTAAATGCACTATTGAATTAATACTTGCACATTAATCGATTCTTTATTTTTTTCTGTTTAATTGATCTAATCAAGCACAAAAACATTTTTGAAAATGTTCACAAAAATATAAAGTTTATTATCTATATTAAAATGTTTAAAGTTAATAAACAATAACATTTTTTTATCATCTAACATGTGTTGATGTTGATATTTTTAGCTTAAAAACATTGGTCATTAAAAAATAATGACAAACCAACAAATTTTTTAACTATTTTATGACAATAAATAAGTTTAGACTTACAAAGTAATTAGATTATTATTATCGTCAATAAATTAAAAGTATATTATTATATCATGATGAAGATGGTTTGTTTTAAATATGTTAACTTATTAATTAAGATGTCCATTTTAACAAGAATAGTTTAACTTAATACATTCTTGTTTAGTTGAATAACAATATAACACTTTTTAATTTAAATTAAAAAGTTTGTTGTAATTATTTTATTAATTGATAAATTTTATTTGTTTTATTTTTATTATTATGCCTTTTTTTCAAAAGAATTACAACAATAAAAAAATACAAATAAAAAATTTGGTTTTTAAACACAATAAAAAATTCAAGTTTGTTGTTTGAGTTATTGTTTTGGGCATATTTATAATTTAAATATGATTTATTATAAAAATCATTTTTGTTTTTTTCACAGTAAGGAATCAAAAAGAAGAAATAATAAATAACATTTTTTGAATGGCTGCAAAAGGCGGGCGAGTGTCATTATTTTTTTCGCGGGAATTGAGTTTATTAGGCTCAACAACTTCAAATTCTAAATAATGTGCCCGATGTCTAATGAGAAGGTAAAATAATTAGAACATATACAGGTCAATACTAAACCCCAATAGTTTTCTAAAACCCCTAAAGTCTTCAAGTGATTGGTAAAAACTAAAAAAAGATATTTATATTTAGAAACAATTTTTGGATAACAATTGTAGGCCAACTCCGGAAACATGTTCTTTAAACTTATTTTTGATGTCACTTCTTACAGTTTTACATGAGATAAGACTTGTTATGATTATGTCTTGAACAGTTATAAACAAATGTATTTTTTATAATTTTTATTTTTTGTTTTTGTTATACAACACTATTAGTTGTCCGATTTCAAATTGTACTTATTCAGGATAACCTCGTAATGAATTTACTTCGAAGTTTGAGGGGTTTATGACAATTTTATGGGTTTTTAACATACCTGTATACTTTATGTATAAAGTGAGAAAAGATATTCACGTTTTTGAACCTATCTTAACCATATTTGTAAAATGCAGAAACAAATAAATGAACAATTTATAATAAAAAAACATAAAATTACTTATTTTAAATGATTGAAATATTTTTATATTAATAAAACCAATTTAATGAATTTATTTGTTGGTTGGTTTGTGTATTTGATTATTTAAAGAGAAAGTTGTATGTTTTTGAATTATTTAATAAATTATTGTTTAATTGGTGATTGTCACTCAAGACAACATTTCATAATTTAATTGTTGACAACTTTAAATTACAACGCGTGTTGCCTTAAATTTTTAGACTACTAATAAACAGTTTTAATATCTTATGTGCATGTACACATGAGTCTTTAGTCATAACCTTTTTTGTGTAAATTATATTCTCTTAATTTTGGTGTTATCATTTAAAGTTAAGATTTATTTTACATGTTTACATCATTAAAAGTTAACACGTTTTATTTTTAGGCTATTTTTAAAACAAAAGTGTAGCAATTAAGAGTGAAACATTATAAACCAGCTATTTTTATTAAATTATTGAAAATGATATTTAATAGGAGTATCCATTTAAATTAATCATAACAGTTGTGGTGTTATCGAATTACATGTGTTTATTATGATGTGTTGTAATTTAAAAAAACAATAAAAAGAGAGTTATAAAAACAATCGTTTATAATATCTCGCTCATAAATTTTTATCAACAAATAGCTGTTGAATAACAATTGTTCATATTTGATTTTTCTTTGTTTTAACAAAACGTCAAATTAATTATACCAAGTTACAATTAATATTTGAAAATAACAATGTCAATAACAGTCATTATTCAACTGAAAATTGAATTCAACACTATTTAAAAATATTATATAATTGTTATTAATAATTAATTTTGATGTGCTAACTTTTTTACCGTGTTTAGTGGTGTTTTTTGTATGTTAAGTTGCTTTAGTATTTTTTATAATAATAATTATTATAATGTGTGGTTATTTTTCTCATTGTGAAATAGTTTTTAAATAGTTAAAAATAATTAAGAAAAATAGTAAATAATATTGTGGTATGTAATTATTTGGCAAATTTTCAGGTTTGTCAAAATTTTTTAAGACTTAAAAAAAATTTCAAAACAAGTTTTATTTGATTTTTATAATTTTAATAGTATTTTAAATTTGATTTAAAAAATATAGTTTTGTTTAGTAATGACAATAATTCTCACACGCCATTGAAGTATGTCAACAGAGTCTTTAAAAGACGGTCCAAACAACTAAATTCATAAAATGCAAATCTTTGTGAAGACCCTCACTGGTAAGACAATCACATTGGAGGTAGAGCCAAACGATTCTATCGATGCTATTAAAGCAAAAATACAAGAAAAGGAAGGCATTCCACCAGACCAACAAAGACTCATTTTTGCTGGTAAACAGCTTGAAGAGGGAAAAACCCTTTCTGATTACAACATTCAAAAGGAGTCAACACTTCACCTCGTCTTGAGATTGAGAGGTGGGTATTAAGCATTTCGTCTCTTTGTATTGGTCTTGCTTTGTAATTCATTTTACTTGCTAACTTACTGTTTAAATTTTCGTACCAATTGTTGTGAGTTGTATAGAATTGATAATTTGTATTTTAATAAAAAAAAGTAAATACAAACAAAAAATGCATTTGCCGGGACTCGAACCCGGATCTCCACCTTGGAAGGGTGGAATTCTGCCCTTAGACCACAAATGCTTCTTGATATATTCTCTATTCTAGATTGATTAAGTCGGTAGGTTTAAAAAATTGGAATAAAGAAGAACTTGATAAGATACATTATTATTATAATTATTTGTACTATATAATTTTATAATAATTATACTAAAATTTTAAAATTTTAACTTTTGAAAATCAAAACAAATCTTATATCAATAACACATGTCAAAGCGAGTTGATGTGTACTCCATTCAAATTATTGCGATCTATTCAAAGGAATATGACGGTTTTTTGTTATTATATTAGTTTGTGAGTCGTATGAATATATGCTTGATTATATTTAAATAAATCCAATTTATATCACTCCAATAACAAATAAAATTTTTAGGACATTCAAACCTAATAATAATTCATAACCTTTTTGATGTTAAACTGAACACTAATAAAAAAATCTTTTAAGTTATTAAAAAGGACTCAAAAAGTGTCTGATACAAATTAAGAATATCAATCAGTGTCCACTCGCTGTTTGTACAAAAAATCCGACTATTTTTAACACTTAAATTACAGAATTCATGAGGAAAATATAAGACGGTTCATTCAAAAAATGTAATGGGACTTCAACACAGTTTCCAAACTCAATTATCGACATATCTCAGTTTACTTTTTCTTATTCTTCAAATATCACATAAATTGCACTGCCGCCACATCTTATACACCTTAGTAATTAGGTGTTTAATCAATGTATGAGATTTATAGCGATAAAACTTCAGACCTGCTTGAGTGATTTCAAAAACGTGTTTTTGTAAATGTACTTCTTTTTTTTTCTGAACTTTAAAATAAACATCACTTTTATTGGCGTTAAAGCTTTGAGTGAATGTGCTTTTTAAGAGTTTACAGTTGACAAGAATGTGTGTAGAAGATTACTTGTTCTTTATTTGTTATTTATTAAAGAGTTTGACACTTCCA